GCAGAGGGCTGCGTGTGAAAATGCATGGGTGGGTGGGTGGATATTGAGTGGGTGGGCAGGTAAGTAGATGAAAAGACACAGATATCTTTAAGCTAAGAACTGTCAGGAGAAGATGAAGACGGAGAGAGCAATAGGAGCTAATACTGCATGGCAGACAATGATCACAGGTTGGTAACCGCGTTAGTACATCTAGCACAGGTGGGGGAAATCAGACGAAAGATATTGGCTAAATAATAGACAGACTCTGTCTTGTGGAAAGAGTTCTGGAGTCAGCCTTGCTCCCCCAGTTACCAGCCACATGATCATGAGCAAGGCATTCTACTTCTTAGACCCTCCCCTGTAAATGGGAAGAGCAGTGTTTGGTCTATAGAGTGTTAGGAAGGAGTCAGAGAGCCTCACTCATGGTTTGTACTAGTAAGTGTTGTTGAGTGAGCTCATGAATGAACTGGAAGGGTCTGAAGCCATCTTGTAGTCTGACCCTTTATGGTATCGTTGGGGAAACCGATACCTGGAGAAGATACAAGGAGGCCAAGATGAGTGACAGGGCCAAAGTCTAGCCTAGCAAGATACCAGAGTCTCTGAACCACACCTGCTGAGTATTCTGCCTGTGTGTGATGGTTTGTGATGTTGGAGTTCTTCTTTGATGGAATTATAGCTATGACTCCAAAGTAATAGGAGTGACACAAACCAGGAGCAGCAAAGGGTATGAAACAAACAAGATGGGGCATTCAGCTTCTTGGTCAATGCACCCTGAGGTAGGAAAGGAAGTAGAGGGATGATGGACCAATGATGAATGATGGGAAGGGAGTAAAAGAGCCCTACCAGGTGTGCTCCCCATCTAGATCACCTCCACTCTGAAGGGCACGGGAGCTGGCGGTCGACCTGGTAGATGACTTCACTCAGCAAGGCTAGTAGGCCCAGTACCAAGTTCTGCATGTGCTGGGTCATGGCACCAGTCACAGTGGCCACTGCGCAGGGCAGGGTGATGGCAGATATCTCTCTACTTTCTGTTCTGGAAATTCCTCCTGCCTGTACCCAGAGAATTGGGTCCATAGCCACAATCAAGGGAATTGGGGCCTGTGGACAGACAGATTGACAGAATGACAACAGTGGCCATAGTGTTCAATGGGAGACTCTCACCTGGGGTGGAGCATAAAGAGCCAGGAGGAGAGATTAACGCTAGATTATAGGAAGCCTCTCTCAGTGGGACAAGAGATCTTGGACAGGGTAGCCAGGTGGGAGCCATGCAGTGTCCCCTCCAGATACCTTTGTCATCTGTGGTGCTGAGACACAGGCTGTGTGAAATACCTTAGGATAAAGACTGACAGATTTGCCTCTGCACAGGTGTGGATATAGGCAGAGACAGAGCCTTACCTGATTTTTTGTCCTTGATGGCAGAGATATTTCAGAGTAGCTGCAAAACCCCACCCAAAGGCGTAGGAGATGGCTCAGTAGAGTAAGCGCTTCCCTGGCAAGCGCAAGGGTCTGAGTTCAATCCCCAGCTCCGGAAAAAAAAAAAAACACCCACACAGTTCCCAGCTCAACTTTGGAAAGGTGGGACCTAGGTGCCAGGAGCCTTGAGCCTTTGCCCTCCCTTTAGCCTCCCTCTGAAAATCTAAGGCCTTTCTTGCTGCTGCTTTCTGCACAGGCGACTGAACTCATGGCCTGCACATGGTAGGCAAGTGCTTTATCACTGAGCTGCATGAAGCCCCATACATGGGCTTTTAATAAATCTCTGTTGAAGAAAGTGTCAGCTTCATCTTGTGAGCTCCCACAAGGCTTGACTCTCTCTTGAAGTCCTGATCACTTGCTGATTACATCATTTGGGCATCTAAGCATGGCAGGGACAAGGGCTAGCTCTGAGGTTTCATGTTCTGTGTCCCCAGAACAGGCCATAATGTGGGTACTTACAGGGGCTCAAAGGTGGATGGATGCATCGTGCATATGTGGAGAGATTCTTTTTTTCTTCTTGGAAATATTATTTGAAATATGGATGGATAGGTGGGTAAACAGATAAATGAATAAAATGTGAGGTGATAAATAGATGGATAAATGAAATATATGAAAGGAAAGATATATGTAAGCTTTTATTTATTTATTTAGTTATTTATTTATTTTTTAGAGGAACCGGGGATTGAACTCAGACCCCTGTGCTTGCCAGGGAAGCGCTTATTCTACTGAGCCATCTCCCCGGCCCCCTTCATGTAAGTTTTAATGGCTGGAATATTTGTTCATTTTATTCACTGAAGTATCCCAAATAACCAGTACAGTGTCTGGAACACATGAAATAATAAAAGTTTTATTATTAACTAAATAAATAGTGGGTGAATGGTGAAATTGACTGATGGATGGAGATTGAAATGATGATGCACGGATGGTTGAATGGGTGAAGGATGATGGATAGATGATAAATAGACAAAGAGATGACAGATGATATAGATAGACAGATGGACAGACAGACAGAGGAAAAGGCAGGTGGAAGATAGCTGTATAGATGAATTAATGACTGACCAGTTAAGGAGTGAGTGCAAAGTCTATTTCACTGTTATCTGTAAGAAGTATGTATTTGGCTGTGGCTAAGGCAGGAATTATTTGGATCCCTCCTTCCTCCACATACTTCCCATTAGATAGAGGTAGGTGGATGCAAATTGGTGGGTGGAGCAGGCCACTCTACTGCCACATCTCTAGTTGCTCTAGGCCGGGATGACTACAGCCCAACCTCTCAATCAGTGAATACCCAAGGCAGAATTCTGTAGTCCAGAGGCCATAAACTAGGCTTGTATGTGCATGCTGCCACCTGTGTCTATGCCCATGCCCAGGATGGAACCCCCTGCTGTCGGAAGAGCTCCCTCACCCCTAGAAGCATACTGAGAAATTTTCTTTAATTTCCAGCAGTTTGAGGTCTGGCTGGGAGGTGAACAGTCCATTCCCATCCTATCTGGCGGCCAGCCATCCTCAGGTCAATCCCAGGACTTTTTTGGTTCCAAGAGCTCCTCTCTGGGGCTAAGATCTCCTGACCTCCCTTCTGGATGGGGTGAGGGCTACTGACTAAGGAAGATCAAGAGCAGACAACAGCCCTGACTCCTAAAGTAGGAACCAAGGAACACACAGTTCTGCTGTCAGCAGTGAGAATGTGACTTTAGGACCTCTGAGCCCTAAGGGCCCTCAGAGACCAGTGAGTCCTTCCATACATCATAAGCTCAAGTGTGGTTGGACAGACACCCAGGACTCGGCGTGCAGTCACCGGTGACCCAGGCTCATGGGGATCCCATTGACGAGGGCCCCTTAACCTTCATGAGCCTACCCAGTGCTTAAGGTGGCTCCTCACATCCTCCAGGAAGTCTGCCAGGCCTTCATCTCCCCATACACCTCTGCTCCTGGACATAAGTGGAAGACCAGACTCGGGAAGCAAGTAAGAGCAGAGCCAGGAACTAATGGCCTGAGCCCCCATCACCCTGACTCGGAGAAGAACAGAAGTGACAGGTGACTGTGGCTTGTGCCCTCTCCCAAGCAAGTCACAGTGCCCTGTGGTCATACTTGTTTCCCAGCTTCTCTAAGTAAGACAATGATAGGTGAGCTGCTGTTCCCCAGCCAGACCTTTGAAAAGCCTGAAGTTCTGACCTGCACTCTCAACCTCTTCCTTTTACCTTTCTGTAAACTTAGTTTTGATTTTTATTTATTTATTTAGTTAGTTAGTTAGTTAGTTAGTCAGTTAGTTAGTTTTAGATAGGGTCTCACTATATAGTGCTGGCTAGCTTTAATCTCACTTTGTAACCCAGGTTGGCCTTGAACTTGCAGTGATCCTCCTGCCTCAGCCTCCCAAGTGCTGGGGTTACAGGCATGCACCACCACACCTGGCTTAGGTTTAATTTTTTAACTAAATCATATTTGCAACACATAATGATCACAGTCATTGTTAAGGGCTAGTAAATGTGCATAACATATCTTAATTCTTTTTTTTTTTTTTTTTTTTTTTTTCAGAACTGGGGATTGAACTCAG